GACTCAGTGTCAGTGCAGTGACATCCCTTTGGTGATATCAAACGAATAGAAGATAGAAGAAAAATAATGCTACTGTTCCTTGGAAATTAACTGGAACTGTGAAATACTGTAGGAGGATTTTACAGCTGAACACAGAGTTTTGCAACAAAATTAATACATGGACATGAGCAGAAACTATTTCCAGCAAACAATGTGTAGAGCTGACTATCGACAATATCTGCATTTCTCACAGTAAACTGTGAGATTCTGTTTGCATCACTGTCAATGACAAGACTCAACACTGTCAATGACAAGACTCATCATACATAAACATAATACACATCTCAAAAATACCTTCTGATTTTAAGTTTCAATTCTTGTTATTTTTGTTGTGTTTTGCTTTGGGGCAGTTTTGGTGTAGTTCTGTAGGTTTTTGTTTTTGTTTTTTTTTTAAACTCTTCTGAGCTTTCTCTGGATAATGAATAGGGCAAGAGCTGAGAACTCCATAAGATCTAATTCAGTCACCTGTTCCACAGCTCTGGTCCTGCATTCTCATTCTCTTAAGTGAGAACAACTGGCATGTAAACTGCGATTGGCAATCTAAGCGTGCATACATGTGTACATATATATATATATGTATATTTATGTACTTATTTAGTCTCCAGCTTGCACATACTTGTTTTATTTTTCCCTTCACTCTTCATCCAACACCTCCGGTGCTTTTGGTTCTTCTCCCCTTCTAAGACAAAACTTATATGCCTATGCTACTCTGACTGACTGTCAGATAACAGAGATGGTATCTCTACAGCAGTCTCACGCACTCAGCATGCATTTTGAGTTATCATGTAAAGCAAAAGAGCACCCTGTAGGAACACCACAACTCCAAAATGCTGCTAGGCCATGATGAATTTGATTGTATGTGATCACAAATGGGCTTACAGAGCGAGAGCGCAGCTGGAAAAATTCAGAGAAAGAAATTACCATCTGGAGAATCAACCAAAAATAGAAATGCAGGAAGAAAAACTCCAGTGGACACTTTTATTATCAAAGGATCTCAAAATGAGAACTACTCTACAAAAAGAAGACAGTAACGAAATAAGATAATGAAACAGTATTAACAATGGGAAGGGATTTAGGCATTTTTGTTTTTAACAGACATAATGGCAAATTGAAGTGTTAAGAACAATGACATAGTACAGATAAACACAAATATATAGGGACCACCTTTCCAATGAAGAGGCAATATGAAGAAAAAACAAGATCTCTCCCTGAAAATTCAGATGATAAAGATTGGCTATTGTGATGCGGAGAAAGTAAAACAGGTATATCCACACTGATGTCAACATAAGGCAGAAAGAGAAACTCAAGTGGAAATAAAAAAAGTTAAAGCAGCTTTGGAAAAGGGATCTTTGCAACTGCTTTCCAAATACAAAGACACGGTTTGTAGATACTCCCTGAAATTGTCCCCTGAAGCCATCCCTGAAGACATCTCCTGCTATCAAATCCTTGCTGTACAGATACAGTAATCTACCATTTTGATATATTTTTCATTATGAAGACATCTTTACTGGTCTACAGCTAGAAAGCTTCCAGTTAGATACTGTACATTTGTATTATATGCACACATTAACATTATTGTACATGCTTTAACTGTTCTACAGGACAATGTATGATAATATTAATAATAAGGGTTTCCAGATTATATTTTTGAACAATACCATAAACACATCCTTGAAACAGAAAGACAAAACAAAAAAAACAACAACAACAACAACAAAAAAAAACTAAGAAAGACAAACTGAGGGAAGGGAACTGCCAAATTTCCCACAGCAGTTAGTCCAGCTGACTCACAAGACCACTAAAACAGAAGAGCAGATTAACCAGCCTTATTCAATCCATAGGAACATACACATATATATACATGTCATTCCTTTCTTGGCTCTGTTTGGTACATTTTCAGACTAGCAGTGCTCACTAAAGGTCATTCCTATACTTATCAAGAAAATTAGGGAGCTAATGTCCTGCTTACTTTAGTAAGGATAACCTCATATATTTCTATTAGAGTAATAATCTTAAAAGGATTAAAGCTCAACATACTGAACACTTAGAAAAACTTAAAAATTATTTTTTTATAATTCACCAATTTTCATCCAAAACTACACCTCAGAAAGAGCTATTAATATTCAATAAAATATATAGTGTGTACAATAATACATTCACATATATATAGATGCTACATGACACTACTTTCCCACTGCAGTAAACATATACAGCCAAAATATTTATCAAACTAAAGTACAGCTCGCCTCAACAGTCCCATGTGGATTAAAATAGATTAGATGCTATAACTAGTGTTCTTGCCCCCCACTGTCACCAAATTATATAAAATACTATATATATTGATACCAACTCAGTCACTGATACATTCTTGGGAATTGGGAATGTTTTGTGCATTAATTCTTTCATCTGACAAGGGACTCTGGAACTGGGAGTACTTGTTTCAGTCTAACATTACAATACAGTTGCATAAAGCATTTTGTTTTCAAGCCAAGAATTCCCTACAAAACAGTAATCTAAGACATTCTATTTGCTGTTATCTAAAGTTATTTTTCCTAAAATATGCAGCTCAGAAACGGCTGACAAACTACTTGGAATCTTTTTTTTTTTTTTTTTTTTTTTTAAAGTGTATCACATAACTCTCTGGCTAAGGTTAACTGAAAGCTAATTAAAATCATTAAGATGATGATTTGAACAAGAATAGGAAAAAAACTGTCTAAATGAAACAGAGAAAAATTAGATATTACTTGACTGAATCATACCCTTAGAAAAAAAATGCTTCTCCTTCACAAAAAAAGAAATAGTAATGAACATTTCTTTCCTTCTCAAAGAGGATTTTTGACCTTTTAGGGCAATAACATTAACAACCCTTATCAAACTAACATGTTCATCTTCTGACCTAAAACTCCCAAAGCATATTTCAGTTCCTTTATGGACAGAAATGAAATTCCCTATGCTCTAAATATAATTTATTTCCAATTTTACCATCTTTCTATTTAATCAACAGGACACGATTTTAGTATTCTGATAAAAGTTAAAAGGCAAATAAGAAACAATCCATATGACATAACAGAAATAAAATTACACGGACATAATTTTCCTTCCGTAAAAATAGCAGTCCTTATTTTGGCTGGACTCTTGCCTCCGGTGGAAAAAAAATCTTAGTCTCTGATCATCAGAGAAAAGGACATACAGTTCAACCTCTTCTAGCTGCCATGAAGACTAAACAATATATACAACACATACTGACAACCTCTTTTGCAAAATCCAAGTAAATGAAAATTGGAATAGAAAGAGAATTTCCAGTGGTGTGATTGAGAAAAAGAGTGTATAGCTCGTACTGCAGGCTAAGATGACTGATAACTATGTGCATGAGCTCTAACTTGAGACACAGTATTAAGCACTGATGAAATAGTCCAAAAAAAGTTTTGCAGTCCATGCCAACACCGCTGGATGAGAGCCTGTTTCAAAAGAAATCTGCAAGAGCCTTCTTTATCCGTGTTATGAACTCAATCTAGCATGTCAACTGCATGCAGGCAAACCAAACACTTCTGCTCAAGTGGAGAGCCTCACCTTTCCCACAGGAGGCTCAGTGGAGAAGGAAGAAGCTCTTCAATTGTCAACTTCAGATACAATACTGTCCACAACACCAGGCAACAGTGATAAACCTATAATGAAACTGCTAAGAGGACTTTTTACAAGTGAATGGTATCTAAGGCTCATTAGCACATATTGTAGATTAGATTAGTGTCTATTGTTTATACGGTCACTTCTAATGTTTCATGCTGTGAAATTCTAATAATAAAATTTAATTTCCTTACTCAAAAGGAAGGAAGGAAGGAAGGAAGACTTTCTTTGGAAGGACAACTGTTTAAGAGATTTTATGTAAAGCCCAAAGTACATCATGACAAGTCCTTTAATTGCAATGGATGTTAATGAAATGATTAGCACATCCATCTGTGAAGGTTTTGAGCATTTTCAGTATATTCACGCAAAATCACAACATAACATACAGAAGAAATCCCTAGAAGCTAAAACCAGTGATTTTATAAGGTAGCTTTTTTTTTTTTTTTTTTTTTTTTTTTTTTTTTTTTTTTTTTTTTTTGGCCATTTATAGTGACAGGAGTCACACTAGGCTCAGCCTCTAAAAGCAAAGGAAGATTCTGAGCTGGACTGGAAGCAATCAGCACCCAGGAGATGGAATTATATATCAGCCCCCTGTCCATGATAGGGAACTCTTAACATGTCCAGATAAAATTTGGAAAAGAATAACTGATTTTAGGTTTAATATTTCCAAGTCAGTGGTCAGATTGCTCTGTATTTGTATGATTGAGGTGATAAAGAAGACTGTGTTACCAGAACAAGTTTATAGTTCATCAGAATGCAAAGGCTGTTGCTATGGAATTAGGTTCACCTACACACAGTACACAAAGAGCATTAAATAAGAGTATCACAACTGTCTTCAAAACACAACAAGAAGAATATTACCAAGGCAGTTTGTTTTGGTATATGTCTCCATTCCTTTTTCTCTTACTCCTTTTCACTCTACATTTCTTTTTTAGAACAGAGTTTGATTAGTATCACTTTGAACAAAAATCCCTCAGGCCATTTTTGTTTTATCTCTCACTGTTCCTTCTCTTCAAGCCTCCCCATTACATAGTCCTGTCTGCCTCATTCTAGCACTGCTTCATCTTCATTTTTCATGACATCATTTTGTATTCTTTCTGCTTTCCCCAATGACAGAAAGTTTCTATTCCTACTTTCTAACCTTTATTTTAGAAACTGCACTGCAAAAGAAAGCCTTTGCATTGCAGAACATCCCTCACAAGAGCTGTTCTGAAGATTTGAGTACTACAATTCACAAGATTTTGACAAAGTCACATTATAATACTAACAGTGTGAAGTAATGCCAAATAAATACAAAATCTAGCATCAAAGAGAAAAAAGCAAAATAAAAGACCGACCAGAAGGCATCCATTGATCTGAGGAGGGTTTTGTCAGCGTGTTCACCTGGTCCCAGTTAAGATCATCATCATCTGACTGACTATACCCACAGGTGCTAAATGGCTCATCGAAAGTACAGCATCCTGCAAAATAAACACAGAAAAGATTAACATAACATGCAGATAACAGATTATGAGTCTCAACAAATGCAACACAATTCAATGCAGGCTGTGTAATTTTTTTAATGTCCTTTAATAAAAGCAAACGTATTAACTATCAGTTCTGAGAGGACAAAAAACTTGTCATGAAAACACAATCTCAAGGGTCAAAGCAGGTGGACAAAAGCTGGGTCAGGGAGAATTCTAATTTCAAGAATTTAGAACAATGGAATCTAACACCACCAACAAGGATGTAGAAAAACTTCTATCGCTGTACACAAGAAAACTTGTCCAGCTTTCTCAGATTTTTTTTCCTCTAGTAGCAGACTAACACAGGGTTATAAGCTCTGTTTTCTACATTTTCTTTGATGTTTGACGTTGCACTCGAGTGAAGAATGACATCTTGCCTATCCAGGAAAACAAATGTAACCCCAGTCATGGATATTTCAGTCCATATTAAAGTAAATACTGCAGCTGTTCAAACAAAACTAAACTTCTGGGCTATTCATCATCTTTGCTGTCTGTCTGTACAAATAGCTGGCTCAGTCTTGCCAACTCTTACTAAGATAGGAAAAAGACAAAATCTAGCTTTAAAAGAGATTTGAACATTGTAAGTTTAGGTTTCCTTGAACATTACAAACAGCATTAGAGAATAACTCATCAAGAAAATAGGATTACATAAGACAAAATATCATTACATCTGACGAGCTTCACCTAACCAAAGTCCAGCCTTCTTAATAAGTACTCCCAGCTTATAGTCATCACTCATGACAAGTATTCTGCAGGCATATAATTTTTAATGGAAATTCATTTTGCAAACATAACACGTTTGCCCCATTGGCTTGCATGAAGGTTATCCTATACTGTTCTCTGTTCTAAGACATTCTTCTATAGAAATTCTTCATTAGCTCTAAATATGTCAGGGAAATTAGCACCTCTGGCTACCGCACCTTTCCGTACCTCTTGTAGGTGCACAGATTTCAATTAGTGAGCTACTGGGAACAGAAAACCATGAAAGAACTGACAGCTCCATGCTCTGACATTTCACCTCAATGATAACAACAGATGTAAGCTCTCTCTTCCACAATTAAACAAATTCAGAAATAAAATAGGTAGGTTGATAGTACATCAAGTGACATCTGTAAAATTTCTAGGGAGAAGAGATAGAATTTTCCACAGGCATTTGCACAGCTGTTTTAACTCCCACATAAATATTACTTGATACAGTTGAAATGTGCCACAGAGTAACTTTCAGATGCAGAAGCAAAACATAACTTTCAGGGGACAGATATGGGTTTGCTTTTTTAAAAAAAAAATACATAAAACCAAACAAATCACAGCTGAAGCAAAAGGTAGTTTACTTGCAAATGTTTTGCAAATGATGCTAGAACATGACAAAGTATCGCGTTATACAGCACACAGCATAATCAAACTTTGCAAAAAATATACACCTCAATGATAACAATTACGGTTTGCATTTCAAACACAGGACCAATGAATTTATGTGCTAGCTCTATCACCTCAATTACATCACACACATCTCTAACAATAAGAAGCTATAAAATAGTTCATGGTATTTTCTTCATCTACTCTAAAAGGTGAGCCAAGTGCTACAAAACATCCAATACCTGAGAGAAATGGAAGGGCTTGTGATCCAGTATGGTTGTTAGAGGCTTCTCCCTTCTCACTAGTTAGGAAGATGTCAAAACCATGGATAAATAGGATGATGGATGATAACAAACAGCTACTTGTCTATTTGCAGTCAACACAGGACTGCTTCTACCGCTTGTTTTTCTTCATTTCTCCTGCAAGTCAATAGCTCAATCACTCTGTCAGGATTTCATCTTTTTTCTTTGCCATTTACATCCTTGAAGCATTTGTGAATTTACAATTTTATAGCTCTCTCAAAAATGGGTATCAAATCTTCACACTTGCTCTAGGAAGAGTTCTTGAGGAATTTTGAATTCCTTCTTTTAATCCTAGGCCACTTCCACCTACAACTAAGAACTGAACTGTACTAACAAGGGTTACCACAGGGAATCAAACTGTGTTGGCCAGCATATATAACACATCTATAATGGCACAGACACCAAGCCATGGCAATTTCAATCTTTAGTTGGAGGAAAAAATTTCAAGGAAATAAATAATAATGAAGACTTCACACAGATGTGATTTTTTTTTGGAAAGTGTTTTGTATATTAAACTAGTATACATGGTTATATATGCGTTGAAAGCATCTACAGGTAAGTTTATAGACTATTAATAATAATTAACAATAATTAACTGTTTCTGCTGAAATCAGGACAGGTTCAATCACAAATGAACCAAAGTTCTTTACACATGGGTCTGAACACCTGGCAAACCCCATCTACTCATGCCATCCTGCCTTTGCCTGCAGTACTTTGCCTATTGTCTAGTCACCATGCTCTCATAGTACAAGGTTTCCACTTCATAAAAAAAAAAAAAAAAATCCATATATAATATCAACAAAGGGATGGCAAAATCTGAAAAATTATCACAGCTTTTTCATGTTTCTCATTCTTTGCACTGCTTTGAAACAGAACAACTGCCAAAATAGGTGGTTGTTTATAATCAGCTAGAATACTTGAGAAAATCTGCTAATTTTTATTATTTATGCTATTTATTATAATTTAACAACTAAAACCCATGTTGTTTGTTATATAGTTTAATAAAGCGAAGCAGATTTCCTGCTTGTTACACAGGCATTACATTTTGGGTAGCCAAATTGTATTTTAAAGGATGATTTTCAGACTGACTAAAATATTTACAGCTAATCACAGAATCATAGAATGGTCCGGGTTGAAAAGGACCACAATGATCATCTAGTTTCAACCCCTCTGCTATGTGCAGGGTCACCAACCACCAGACCAGGCTGCTCAGAGCCACATCCAGCCTGGCCTTGAATGCCTCCAGGGATGGGGCATCCACAACCTCCTTGGGCAACCTGTTCCAGTGCGTCACCACCCTCTGTGTGAAAAACTTCCTCCTAATATCTAACCTAAACCTCCCCATCTCAGTTTAAAACCACTTCCCCTTGTCCTATTACTATCCACCCTCATGAACAGCTGTTCTCCCTCCTGTTCATACGTTCCCTTTAAGTACTGGAAGGCCAGTCTAGGGTATATGTAGCTTGTTTGGGTTCTTTGACTTATTTTCACATAATAGGTATTTTGTAATTCCTAGAAGGAATTGAAGTGACATACACTAGGCAACAAAGTCCATTAGAACCTGTTCTTCCAGATGTAATCGTCCTCTGCCACTGAATCCAGTTCAATATAGCTATGCCATAGTATTATGGAGTATAACTCCATATCCAATCTGTTATGAAGCCCTCCAAAAAACTTTGGATTAAGTGACAAAAATTAAAAAAGAAAAAGTTCAAGTTATGCCGGCCACTTTATTTCTGTCAGTCTTACATACTGTAAGATCTCTGGTCAATATAAAGCTTCTGGCAAAAATTTGCTGCCAAATAATACAAATGCTATAACTTGCAATTTTCATGAGCACATGGCTACTGTGCCAGATACAAAGGCTTTTATTTTGTCTAGGGAAAAAAAAAAAAAAAAAAGCAAAACCTTATGGTTTCTGGTCTGCTACAGTACTGTGAATTCTGTTGCACAAAGAACTCAGTCAACTAAGAAGATGAGTATACTCAATCCTCTTATTAGTATTATTTCTTATAAGTATTTTAAATTCTGTTTACTCTGTATTTTTATACTGGAAATACATTTACATTGTAAGTACAACGCAGTTATCCTCTGAAACTGAATTCAGGATCTTGAAATCTGATTAGAAAGCAGAGTGTCTCAAACATGGGATATGAGGGGCCTCTGATTATGAAATATTAATCTCCTATTAGGTGATAAATCTCCTACAAGGCACTGAATCTCCTCTTTCTGTGTACAACAGTTGGAGCCTCAGCCCCTAGGAGAACTGCAGCCCTCAGCACCTCCCTGTGCTGGTGAACGCCCGTGGCATTGACAGAACTGAAAAATGCCACAAAACACAACTGCTAATGCTTGACTGAACTGTGCATGAGTCAGCTTTCAGCCCCAAGAGATATGCCTCAAGACTCCTGACTTAGGAAGATGATAGTGACGCTGCATTGTGCTTGCTTTTATGTCTTCCCTTGTGGATTTAGGGGGGGACTATGGCATCCTGACACTCAGTTAAAGCTGTTCTGAGAAGCAGGGGATGTGAAGACCAGGTTTCAAACCACCACAATGGAAGAAAAACAGCAGTTCCTTTGAGGGTGAACAAGAAATCCTAAAGTGGAAAATAAAATGCCTGTCTAAATTACAGACTGGCTAACGCACAAAGCAAAGGTTGGAATCAGCAGACAGTTTTTAACGTAAGACACTGAAAGTACTACTTCTAAATGAGTACAACAGGCCCAATTCACTGCATCACTTTTATCAAAGGAAGGATGAAGACAAACATTGTCCAATACAAAAATGTTCACCTCTGTAAAATCAATAAGTGGTGGAGCCCATAAAGCTCCAAGTGAACTAAGCACAGCAGCCTAAACAGAGGGTTTTAAGAACTTATTTTAAACCAGACAAAATGGCCTTCCTGGAGTCTGTTCTGTAGGTAGATTCTAAGCACACTGAGCTCTGGCTTAGTAGCAGAGGAAAGCATTCAGAGCAGTGAAACAGTGCTGCACTGGTCAGGGAGCTTAACAAAACACATGCTGCAAAAAGTCAGTCTGACTTAAAACAGAATTGATGTTCATCTTGTCAGGTTTGCACACGTGTGGTCAGAAAGGGTTTTGGAAAATGCAGAACATGTAAAAATTACCTGGAAAAATTCTCACAAGCCAGAACAAAGACAATAAGGTAAAAGGATGTAGTTTGCAACTAAGGAAGGCCAGATACTAATTCTGGGTGTAAGGGAGGAATAATAAATAGAAAACAATACATAATTTTACAAAGACACGTGTAGAAGATGGTGTGATCTTTGAGATT